GGAATTTAAAGTCATCAAAGATGCCACACCAAAGAAAGTCTCTCAAGTTTTTCTAGACGGTTAGCCACCGAGACAAGGATTTAGAAAATAGACATTTGATAAATGGGGATATTGACGAAAGTGCCATTAATGAGGGTAATTCCTCCCTCCCAGGGAAAGAAATCTACTATTCCAATTTACAAACTTCTACAATGAACTTTTCAATTAGGTTATCCCAGAGCTGTTTACTAGGTTTATTGAAACCCATTTTAGAACAATTAAGGCATGCTATAAAGGCAACTCCCTATTTTTAGGGTTGGGTGTGCCTTCCTCTCTTCAAACCCTAACTAGGGTTAAGCACGACACCCCCTTTTCTCTTATGGGTGGTGTGCCACCTTAGAGAGGGGAGAGAGAGAGCAAGAGAGATGAGATAAGAAAGAGAGTGGCATGGAGGAGAAAGACAAGAGATAGAGAGAGGCTATAGAAACTGTGGTGTAGAGAATAGGGGGGGGGGGTTCCCTACTTATATAGGCCTCAAGTCTCCCTAAGTATGCTAGGTTCGCTGATGTGGTGTCTCCAAATTCTTTTATTTGTGTTTGGTTTATCCAGTATTCTGTAGGTGTCTCTGGGACCCTTGTCATTCAACTTATTCGAACATTTGCTTGTCTATGGTTTAATTGTTTTTTGCACTTCCTTCTAATCATCCAATTGTGATTCACCATGACCAATAGGAATTTTAGGAATTTTGTGAGGGGAGAGAGAAATCAAGCTGACCCATCCATCCCATACATTAACCATCACAATTAAGGGAGGAATATTAGGAACCTTATCCCTTTTATTCTTTGACCCATTTCCATTTCTAGTCTAAACACGACAAGACCAATCTAAATACCTTCTAGACCTTGCCTTCTTATTTTTATCTCTTTAAAATTGTAGGAAGTCAAAAAAATTTATTTTTGTCAAAACTAACGCCCACAAAAAAAAAAGTACACATAATCTTTCCTTTTTAAAAAGGAATATTTAACTACTATGTAAATAACATAAAACATATATTAATTAGAACAACATCTAAAATGAAAAGGAGAGGGGAGTGCCACCCCTATGGGTGACATGTGGAACCAATGGGCTCCATGCCCTACCCATGAGGTGTGGCACACATGTGGTGCTAGATCCAGTGGGCCTCACATGTGCCCTTCCTCATAACCACAGTTTCGAAAATACCGTTTTCCGATTTTTTAGTGCTGAAAATTCTGAAAAATTTCTAAAATTCACTTAAAAATTTCCAACACTGAAAAATAATAAATCTTGAAGTGGATTGGTACCAGTGGGTTAAAATAAATAATTATATGGCTACTCTGCCCAACCCAATGACTATGATCAAAAACTATCTTCTCAAACTAACCCGACGAGACCCATGACCCACAAGCTCGTGTAAGGGCTCATAATTGGCTCGTCAAAGCAGGCCAATAAACAGTGGAACTATAGTCTCGCAATGTGGATTACAATTCTCCCACTTAAAGAGCAAGTGAAGCACACATCGCTATAGTGCAAGGGGGACTCTCACTATGGACATGTACACATATGCTTTTCCAAGGTTGCTTCCCAATTATGTAGATGTCATATGTACATGTTAGGCAGAAGTTTGTTGAGGATTAAGCCCCCGTTCTTACAAGCCTACATTCGCACAAAAGGCAAAATCCATCCTTGGGCATCTTCCGACCTCAGCAAATGATCACCCTCTAAACCCTTTCCAGTAGTGTCATATGCCTAGGGGTGAGCGGTTTGGACATAACCAGGGCCATAGACCGCCTAACCCTTGGTCAGTCAACACAGATCCCCACTGAAGTGCATAATCAACTACAAATCATATAAACAAGCTATTATGGCCTTTAAAGGCCACAAACCCCACAGGACATGGCTTTGCATATTGAAATTTGGGAGAGCGAATGAGCCCCAGGTGCAATGTTTATATAACTTCGGATATGATTTATAGCATACTGTGTTGCATGGATACGGGCATAGTTGGTCAGTATTAGACATGGGTATAGGGTGTAAGATCCTTTGAGCCTTAAGAAATAGGATCCATCAACAAGACTATAAATCTTTGTGTGCGTGTGTGGAATAGGAGTATATGAGCCGTTTGGCCAAGAGCACAGTAGAGAATGGACAACCCAAATTGAAGGAGAGTAGACCATTAGGACGACCACATTTTGCCTCGCATTTTTTATGCATATCCATTTTTTTTTTTTTTGGAATTCCAAAGTGAGGAATACATGCGTGCACAATTCGGGGTTAATCAGACTTTTTTTTTGAAGGAAAATTTTTTTTTGAGGGTAGGTTAACATTGTATTACTGAGAAGAAAGAAGGAAAATTTCGCATGTAATGACGGCTGTTTGAGTTTCACTAAGGGCCATCCAGCCTACACAATCTCTACGCATGTCAGCTCACAAGATCGTTTTCATATATATATATATATATATATATATATATATATATATATATGGAAAATGCTGAGGTCACCCCACTAGCTCATATCAACATATGAGCCTAACGGCCCAGAATGAATATGGGCCGATCAGAAAGTCACGACCTCATTTCGAATTTTAATTTTAAATTTTCTTACAAATCCAAATAACTTGAAATTTTAGGCATCCATTCTTCTCATCAAGGCACACCTAAAAAAATATTTAAAAAATAATTTGCAAAACAAAATTGGCCAAAATATTCCCTAAAGTTTTGGGGGTATTTTGGTCAATTAATTTCCTGCAAATTAGTTTTTTGATATTTTATTCGATTCTCATAGTTTTAAAGAATACATGCCTAAAATTTCAATTTATTTGGATTTATAGAAAAAAAATTAAAATTAAAATACGAAATGAGGTTGTGACCGTCAAATCGGCCCAGATTGAATCTGGGCCGTTGGGCTCATATGTTCATATGAGCTAGTGGCTAACCTCAGCATTTTCCTATCTATCTATATATATATATATACTATGAGACCATCACAACTACTTCTAGTCATTAGATATCAAATTGAATGGCATGGTGTGTGTCAGAAAGTTCGAGAAATTTTTTTTTCAACTTTGAGTATAATCAATGACGTTCTTACAACCACTCGATTTGAAGCATGACAAACGAGAATGATTGTGACTTCCTTGTATTGAAAGTAAAAAGTATCTTTGTATACATGAACTAGATGAGGAGCATGATTGATTGTGAAATAAAAATCCTAGTGATTACATGAACTATGCACAAAACGGCAAGAATCCAATGCACATAATATTCATACAAGAACCAAAAGAGAATCCAAGATTCTAGCAAAGTAATTGACTGTGGAACAGGTAGGAGATAATAGGTTTGAGATGCTCACGCCTTATCTATGTTAAGGGTTTAACTAAAAAATCTGAAATAAATAAATAAATATAAAAAATGATAATGTTATAATATTATTCCTTTGGGAGAAGAATCCGACACATCTTGAGAAGAATCTAGACTATCAGATTACACGTGTCCACATGTCTCAAGAAAACTTCTTTGCACAATTCTTTAGAAAGAAGAATCCAGCTGTGTGCATGCCATACCCATGCCAAGGGTTTAAGCAACCATGGAACATAGATAGCATATGCACAAATGTCATAATTTCATAAATTGATCCCAAAATATTCACACACATTATCAATTTATTACATTCAAAACTTGTCACAAACTCTATTGAGACAAATTATATTTTTTGAGTAGCAGTGTATAATAGGTGTAACTGCCTGAGCAAGCTAGCACATGTTCCTTTCTCATGTGCGTTTTTGTGTGCATCCAAGCAAGTTAGGCATCCAATGCATAGGTGAAAGTAGTAATAGCAATGAATTACCCAGATAGAATTTGAAATCAACAAGCTAAATTGAAAATTTAACCATAGAGTGATTGCTATGGAGAACGCTGCACAAGTGCATCATTGATGTAAGGATCTATAGAAATAGATATGATTAATCATGAGAAATACTCAAACCTTATTCAATTGCAATTAACTAGAAATAGTTGCCAGGCTCTTAAGTATACAAACACATATGTTGAATTACATATTTCAGCAACAAACTACTAAATATTGTATTTAAAATCCTTAAAAGATAAACATCATATTATAATGTGGACTATTAATTAAAAGAAATGCGGGTGCCTAAGAACAGGGACAGGTGGACTATTAATTAAGATGAACATCATATTATAATTAGTACTTATTAATTATTATCCATAAGATTTGATTTTGAATATCAAATATTCATAAAATGTCAATTTCATCCAAAGTTTATGACTATTCACAAAAGCTTAATTTCGTAGGAAAAATTCAATAAATCGAAAAAAAAATCAATCTTTCAACTACAAACATATAAATATACTGTAAAAGAAAAAATAAAATAAAAGAACAAACATATGATTCACAATATTATATGTTATAGCAAAATCAAATCAAGCCCTTATTCAAATAAGATAACCCTTTATCAAAATCAGATCGATGTCGGTGTAAACCGCGTCTATTGGGTCGCCAAAAGTCATCAAAATTGACAAATAGAAGCCAAAAAACACCCACGAGCTATTGCCTTTGTTTTAAGAAGATATCGAAAAAATAGAAAATTTATTGATCTTTTGATAAATCACAAAGAGAGGTTTTTGATGACTTTTTCTCTCTCTAAAAAGCATAGTTTTGGTTTTGGGGGTTTAGAATATCCCCCACAACCCTTTCTCCCCTTTTTAGGGAGGAAAAATGACAAATTTTGACCCTCACCGAGGGTCTTTTCCACCATTTGACAAACTGTCATGAGGCGGCGCCTAGACTGTAGAGCCTGGGCGGGCACCTAGACACATGATGCCTAATAGTCCAGCCTAATTAGCACCTAGGCGTTTTTGAAATTTTTCTGCCTTGGCGACCGCCAAGGCAGCTGGGCGGGCGAATTTTCGAACATTGCTAGGCAGTTAACGTAACTAAGTAAAAGCCATAAAAACTGAATAGATGAAGTCAAAACAAAACCTTATGTGAACGAATGATCCCATATATGCTGTCGGGTTCATTTATCTTAGTGATGGCAGCAACCAGGAGTTCAACATGAGCTGGTAGCTGAAACAGGCATGTGGTAATTTGTCAATCATAAATTGAATTTGTCAAAATTGAAGTCATTATAATGTAACTGAAACCTCACTATCAAACAAATGAACCACCAATTCAGTTTTTAGAACAGAATCATCCAGCAATTCGCAGCAAGAAAGAGGCCTCGCATCAACCTTTCAACAACTAAGTGGCACTTACCATTTCAAGGTGAGAAAAATCAGGGTCTCCCAAAAACAGGGTGCCAAAATGTTCCTCACACCAATGTTCCACATACATGACAGAGGTGAAGTATGCACCAGAAATCTGCCAGAAAAAACAAAGAGAACTCCAGGACATAAATTCAACTTAAACATGTACTTCCATGTGCCAACAAACATGCATTAGCACACAATACATCATACCATACAGGGGGGGGGGAGAGAGAGAGAGAGAGAGAGAGAGAGAGAAGAGAGAGAGAGAGGAGGGAGGGAGGGAGGAGTAGTGTAGTATACTAAGTAAGTAAGTAAGTAAGTAGACGAAGTAGTCGACGTAGTACGTACGTAGTTTAGTTTAAGTTACGTTAACGTTAAGTACTTAA